CACTGAGACTGGCGTCTTTTCATTGGTCAGCCGGTTAGCGCGGTCGATGCTACTAATACAACACACACGCTTGATGCAGTTTCTCTTTTGTGTACACCTCCTGACGCTGCACCGCCTGCTGTCCTCACCCGTGCCGGAATACATGTTTATCCATCCGCGCCACAGAAGAAGGTATCCCAGTTTAGAAGGCGCGGGGACTCACCAAAGCTTTGAAGGTCGTCGAGCAAGTCCGTCACGAGTGGAAATGCTGTAGTGCCTCCCCCCCCCAGACCCGGCAGGCGGATGGGGCGGGAGAAAGGGAGGGGCATCAAAACGGCGTGATATTATTTTCGTTTTCGCTAGGATACGCGTGCTCTTGGGCGGGGGCGGTAGTCCGACCAAGAAAATGTCGTTTGTGTTCAGAACCCTACATAGCATCCTTCCTGTTGTTGCTAGATGAGGCAAGGGAAGGATCATCGAAGTCAGCACAGATGGAGCCGAGAGTTCGAGCGCCGTGGCGGGTGGTTGCTGCGCGCTCGGCCTCTTGTCGGCCGGGAAGATGAAGTAGGTTGGGCCGGAGTTTTTTAGAATACTTGTCGCTCCGGGCCATGGCGAGACGGGAGCGCGGGGCGGAGACTCGAGCAGAAAAGGTGGGCTGCTTGCTGCCTACTGCTCGGTGTAGCACGCACACGCGTCCTGGCTGTTTTTGTGGTCTTGTTTTGTTTCGTTCGCGTTATCTCTCCCTCTCTCTCTCGCTCTCGCTCTCGCTCTCGCTTTCGCTCTGGCACGTTTGGTTCTTGTTCTATGTGCCGTGTACTGTTGTTGCGCGCGTGTGTGTGTGTGTTTTTTTTTTGTTCTCTGTTCTTCTCTGTCCTGTCCGGCCTGCAAGATCATTGGTCTATTTGTGTGATTAGAGTATATTTTAATTTTTTCCAGTCGTTTGCAAGGCTAAAGGGTTTCGTGTGGTGTTCTGGTATTTGTGCCGAACTTTTAAGGGAGGGATTGGGGACTGTTTGACCTTTAGCCACGCGTCCCTTCGAGACCAAGCGCAGTTGGGGCGGGGGGGATGGGGGGTTGGGGCGTACTCTTATGTTTTGCATGCCTTAGCTGTTAGACCATTGACCATGCGTCCTCGAGAGGACGGAGCATTGTTCCCACAGGACCGATCACCGATGGCCAATCGTTCGTGGGGTGGGGGAATCAAATCGTTCAAACAGTCTTAGGCTTCGAGATATTAGATACTCCGTCCGATGATAATGTGCTGTACGGTTGTGAAGCATTTTCTCGTATTTCGATGAGACGCATGGCTTGTCGTTGCTCGGACTGGCTCTGGTCGACCGGAACTCTTCCTGCAGGGCGGCGAGATATCGTTTCGTGTTCATCATGACATCGTGTAAAACGTCGTCTCGTGCTGATGTTTGCTCGCCAGTGGTGTTTGGGTATTTCATGTGTGATATTTCCGCTGTGCCTCGTTTTTAATGTAGCTCTTCTCCTTTAGACGGACGGCCGTCGTCCTCAGCAAACAAGCAGTGGTGGTGGTGGTTGCAGGAGGAGGAGGGGTCGTATTTTCTGCCGAAGAGTGAGATGTACCACCTTTGTCAGGGAGTCGCTCCGGGGATGAATCCCACTTTCCAGCGTTGCTTGCGAGTGCGTGATGACTCAAGAAAATATAGTTTCCTGCGAGAACGGGAGGGAAGCGTGACTTCTGTCGCGGTCGCTGCTCTTTGGTTGAGTTGGATTCATTGACCTGCTGCTGTGGTAGATTTGCCGCCTTAGTCAATGCCCGCCTTGCGTGCCCGCACAAAACAAAACAAAACAGCGAGAGCGAGCCTCGCTCCCCAGCAACTCGGCCGAACGTTGTGTGCATGTGTGTGTGTGCAAGGGTCCCATCTGTTGCGGGCAGGTTTGATATCTGTTGGTTGTGTTTCGTTTGCACGGTTGTGTTACATGTGTGCGCTTGGGGTCATTGCGTGCGTGTGTAGGTGAGACGTTGAAAACCGAGGAAATTTGGAAAACACACAAGACAAGATGTACAGCAGCAGGGAGTGTTCTCGCCCCCGCGCGTTGACATCGGAGCGAGCTTTGACTCTGAGGAGGGCTGGAGTGCGGTGCGGCAGTACATACAGACTTTCACTCGAGCCCTGCAGAGTGATTCGCCGCCTCGTGCACCCGCACGCAAGAAGCGTTTTCGCGTTTTTTCATCCCGCTACATGGCCGAGGCCATTTCATTCGTCAGACGACTTACTCGCGCGGTCGATCCTGACTCAAGAAACAATTACACACGGAGCGGGGACGGAGCAGACAAGAAGATTAGGTGCGTTTTGCTGAAAAGAGCTCAGTAGTCCCGTCCCCTGCCCGTGTATCTGTGCGCCATCAGTACGGCCTACACTGCATCCTCCTTCGTTTGGGACGGGATTGGAAGATGCCTGTAGGCGACGGATCCAACGACGCAACCGGAGCCACGCGTGCGTGGTTGTTGCCTTGATGTGTGAGCGCGGAAAGCACGCGGGGATGAATCCAAGGACCGTTCGAGAATCCGTGCGTTGGAGGGGGTTAACCAACCAAGCGATAAAAATTAACTGTTACCTTCCCGTTCTGCTTTTAAGGAAAAAATGACAAAATAGAACCAACCTCGCACAAAGCACCACCATACACCCCTTGGACATGCCGGGGAACAAAAAAAAGGAGTAGCACTCTCTTTGGCTGTGGCGCTGTGGCAATTTCTGTTGTCGTTACAGTAGGTGCCGGTGACCGTGTTTCGGGTTGGCTGAAATGGAAATAATTTGTTTCGTGTCGAGCGTTTGAAGTGGGTGTGTGGTGCAAAGCTTTGCGAGGGATTTGTGGTAACAAATCATCAAGCAGCTGTGAGCTTTGAAAGAGACAAACTCCAGCCGGCGGCCGAACAAAGAACGTCTGGAGCACGTGGGCACATGAGTCATAATCAAACACAGGCACATCCGCCAAAAATTGAGTACAAGAACAAGGGAGGTAGTCTCGCCAACGCACACTCGCCTCCTTTGACGGCGCACCACGCGGAAGTACCCCATCCCGTTCCCCGAATATGAACGCTCAATCACGTGACCGCCGCTTCGCACAGAAGTAGTAGGATCCTTGCTGCACACAACCTTACCAAGCCACACCCACACACCCGCATCACTCCGAGCACGGAGCTTCGGAACGGGACATAAAGTACGCATGTAGCCACACATGACCTAGTTCAACCGGACGAATGGAATATACAGCATAGGCGCCCTGCGTATTCAACGCTGCTTGCCTGCCCAACCAAGGACGACACTTCCAACAAACGGGTAAACCCGTAAAGGTCAGGGAAAGACATCGTCAACTCGCTTGCCGAGCTTGTCCTCCAGCACGGACTCTGTGATCTCCCACAGCCGGGGCGGGTTGGCGGGATCTAGCGCGAGCTCCGAAGGCGTCTCCTCCTTCATGTTACCCCAGTACTTCCCCGAGAGCTCGGGGCCGGCCAGGCACGGGTCGACCGCACACCGGATCGTGGTCAAGGCCCCGTCCAGCGGACCCTTGAGCCACACCCACCCCAACGCGGCGTACCCGGCGTTAACGATCGGCATAATCAGCTTGCCCCCCCCGATGCCTCTGTGGATTTCCGTCTTGACCAGCCCGGGCTGGACGGCGTAGGTGTTGATGCTCCGGGCCGCCAGGCGCTTGGCGAACTCCTTAGCGTCCCAGATGTTGGCGAGCTTGGACCTGCAATAGGCGGACAGCCTGTCGTAAGTCTTCGGCTTGTCGAAGTTCATGTTGTCCCAGTCCCAGGTCGTCTTCGGCATCCCCGGCGGCCGGCTGTGCGTCAGGGAGGAGAGGAACAGCACTCGACCGCCGTCGTTGATCGAGGGCTCCATCAGCCTCGTCAGCAGGTGCCCGCCGAAGTGGTTGACGCCAATGTGCATCTCGAGGCCGTCCGCGGTCTCCCGACGATTTGGGACGCCGAAGATCCCGGCGTTGTTGACGAGGACGTCGACCTTGGTGCCGGAGGCCTTGAACCCCTGGGCGAAGGCGATCACGGACCGTAGGGACCCCAGGTCTAGGACCTCCAACCGCACGTCGACTTCGGTCAGCCCGTCGAGAAGGTCCACGCCCTGGGATGAGGTGTTCGAATGAAACAGGCGGGAGAAGAGAGGTTGACAGTGCTGTGGGGTACCGTGTGGTCGGGTGGCAAGAAGCGTCTTCTTTTTGTAAGGCGGCGTGGCTGCGTCGAGTGCATTTCAGCAATGAAGACGATACAGATGGAAGCGTTCAGAGCTGCTCGCTCTACCGGCAACGTCAAGCCGAGATCTGGATATCTTGGGCTAGGGCACCCAGGCCCGACTTATCTTTGACTATAACCCTTAAAGCGGCACAATGTGGCTTCAATTATCTCCAGCTGCCGGTTAATTGCTTTCGAAGGAAGGACTGCATGCCGGTCCGGTAGTGATTGGAACTGCTGCATCTTACAAAGTACATGACGTGTGTACTACTAAACTCCACGTTGAGGCAGGTTCGGAACATGCACTCAACGGTCGAGTGCGATTCTGGTCACGCTTACCAATATCTTGAACCAAGTGAGAATACGTATCGATCTTGTGAAGCATCCGCTAGAACCGGGTGCGGTTTTGATGTAGCCACAACATGGCCGGCCTCGAACTCAACTTGTGGAACTCAACCAAAGCGTATGTGTTGAAAGCAAAGAGTCGCGCGCGGCCGCTTAGACTGAACCTTGTACACGCTGGTCTTTGGTCCATGTCTTCACCGAGGTGCATGCTCGATTCACAAGCCTCTACCCACTCTCGTGCACATCGCCAAGGATTTATTTTGCTTTCTCTTTGGCTCATTCTTACGGCCTGCAATTCCACGTTCCACGTTCCCTTCACGCATACACGTTTGCGCGGGAAAATCCATCCCCACGTAATATATTCTGTTCATGACTCCCACCCCGCGTAGACAATACCTCTTTAGCAGGCTTCTCCAACACTTCCGCTTTCAACTTGTCGATCGCTTGTTGCCCCCTCTCGGCGCTGCGGCAAGCCAGTGTCACCTTCGCCCCCATCTTCGCGAGCTCCCGAGCGGTAACATACCCCAATCCAGTGTTGGCTCCAGTGACGATGAAGTGCTTTCCCCGGAGATCTTGTCTCAAGGACTTCGCCTTCCGTGTGGCTTTGGAATCCCCAAACCACCCCATGCCTGCACCTCTAGACCTATCGTCGACGCAGAACGCGCGGAAGCCCACGCACGTTAGGGTATCCAGCGACAAGACAACGCCTACCCACCTACCCACCCAGCCACAGTCAAATGCATGCAGAGATAGATGCGGGGGAATTCGTTGTCCACCGTTGTAGACTCTTCGCTGCCGTGCGCAACACCTACCCACACCAGGCCACGTTGTCACACAGCTGTAGAATGAGGTCTTGCCTAGCACTTGGGTCGGGCGAGACCACGACAACTCCACAACTCCACGACAGGGTTCAGCGTTAGGGTGTGGTACTGCGCTGCAGGCGGCTCCGTGGTGCATCTCGAATGCCTGTGATTGGCTGATGCGGACAGTCACGCTGAAATTTGACTGGTAGGCTCGTATGCATAGAACACTTAGACCGCAGCAAACTAAAATGTGGTACTGCTGATGTACTGCTGTGTTCTCCGCAGCTGTACACCCGATCCCTAAACCGATGTGAAATGTGCAAAGTACAACCTAACTTTCGACCTACGTTTTAAACTCCCTTCCTCCCTCCCTTCCTCCCCCTCCCTTTTTTCGTGGTATGTAAATGGTCCAAAAGTTGCAGGTTGATCACTCCATCCAGACTTGAAGTGCCTAGACTACTGCTTGTAATCGCGCGCGCGTTTACCACCGTGTGCCTACATGTACACGAGTCTAACCAACACAGATGGTTACAACACCTCGTTGCTGATTTTTTTCGATGGATACCACTCGACGTGATTTCCGCGACTACCGTCGCATAGGAACCGCGTGTATGCATAAAAGTAATTGCTCACCAACTCCTCAAGACTGAATGAAAAAGTCGAGGACGATATTCCAGCGCCACCGTTGACTTCGATTCCGCTGCGTTTCCTGAAGCAAAACTGAGACGTTGGGTGACAACGCAGTGGCTTCTACGTCATGCATGTCTCCACGCGCAGCTAGCTTGATTGTATGTATACAACCCGGTTCCGACAGTACAGCTGGCAGGCGCCGTCAACAAAGCAAACGGCGCTGATGACGATGATTGCTACATATACCAACCGGCGCGAGGCTGGAAGTGAAGGAGGCACCAACTCCCTGTCAGAACAATCAGAAATCTGAAAGCATCAGCGTTAACAAGGACGAGAGTCGCCTATGTAGTGGTGCCTTTTCCTAGGGTTTCCAGCGGCAGACTCGTTCAATTTTAAGCGTTTGAGAGTCCAACTCTTGCAATCATACCTCAACCTAAAAGAGGAGTCGCCGTTCAGCCAAGAACATGAAGACGACCACTGTGCTATGATGGCACAATGCTATCGTAAAACGAGCATGATGACTGAGACTTAAATGTTCCCGTATCAGATGAATTCTACAGTCTACAGCCCGCACACACGGCAGAGAGAGGCGGCCGGAGTCTACGACACGTCTTGGACGTCGAGACTTAGGAGGTGTGCGTAGGCAAGCGTCCGTTGCGTTGCAGCCGCTTTCGATCCCGCGTACAATGAAGCCGCTCCGCCTTCGGAAAAAGGGTTCAGTCAACACAGGCGAGGGTGTTCGTGATCGGTGGGTGTAATAGTTCTGCGTTGCACCAGATCCGTGTGCGTTGTAGACCGTAAACCTCATGACAGCACACACCCTTTCAACCGAGATTACTTTTGCAGGCATCAGTGTGAGTTTAGGAATCCTGGTTTTTTGAGCGGGGTTACTTGTGCACAGCAGTAGATCAGCTTGTTCTTAGAGGACATCACATTTAACCACGGCAACCCAGAAGAAGCGGAATTCTCAACTTCGATCCCGATACGTTTATTGTCGACTTCCTCCCAACCATCAGTGTCCATCCTGCTTGCATACATCCTTCTACATAGTCCTGCCCCCGAAATAAAAGTTGCGTCGTGGATCTAGAAACAGCAGTTTGTTCGGACCTGTAACAAGAGCTTTGGGCTGACTTGAAGAATGGCGCTAATGGGCCCTTCGTCGCCCTTCACAATCGCCAGTCGCAGAATCCGCCGCCACTCTCCGGCTTGTAGGTGTTGTTGGGCTGCGAGCGACACGAGGAAGGGAGCAAATTCACATGAAACAGGCACGAAGGTGGCACTAGGGCTCCAACACGAAAAGGCCCGTGTAGTACGGTGCCTCCCTTCGTTAACGTGTATATCTGTATCCAATGGCATTGGCATCAGAAGAAATGGATACATCATGCCGTACCACCTTTCAACGTTTCGTCCGGGTGCCCGTTGATGGTGATTCTTGTTAAGGCGGTCCGTTTCTCGATCATTTCGAGCAACGTTTTGTTGCGACGGCGGTGGCACTTATTCGAACGGCTTGAACTTCGCACCTTGTGCAGAATCCTGTCGCTGATGAGGAGTTATGTTTCCATTGCGCAGCTTCGAGCTGGTCTGCGTTTTAGTTTTTTCTGAGCAACCGGACATTCACAAAAGAGAAATGCTTGAAATCTCGTTGTTTCTCTAGGTTGACATGAATCAAATCAAAAGGTGTTTATACCCCTCAATGAGGGTCTACCTGCTGCCTGCTATGCCAACGTGACTGACCGTAGCTTGTCAGCAACCGCAGGCACTCCTGGCCTCGCCCGGAAGCCAATCGTGCGCAGCTACCGCTGCTGGTAAGACCTTTCGCTCCCGCTTCGACAGCTTGTACAATGGCGTTCTCGAGCACTCGGAGATGTGCCCACGGCGGGAGGCAGAACCGCTCGTGGTCACACTGCTGTAGTGCTTGCACCCTGCACCTATCGGTACACGATTGAAAAAACGCTCAAGAGCAGGTGGGAGATTTCGAACCATGACAATCAAGCGATGTATTATAGCACTGCTCAAAGATCGGAAGAAGACCCAGGGTACGTCGGGGGGTACTGTAGGGTACCCAGTCCTCCGTCGGACGTTTTCATTGGTCAACACCTGATCGATAATTCGGGTGGCTCAGTTGTGTGCGATGGGAGTGTAGAGCGGGTGGCCCATGACGGGGCGTGGATGGGTAAAAACGTGTTGGGAAACGTGTTGTCGTGTTGTAGTCATCGGGGGCGTGCTCGTGCTCGTCAAACCATCACGGTATCGAGTCACGCCTTCATGCTTTCTCACACAACGAATCTCTCTGAATCCTCACCAAAACCCTCTCACAACCAAGGAAAATATGTAGAAAGTTCCTGTTCATCCGCATCTCATCACTGCAATATTCGTACGTACGTACATAACATCTCAACCATCATACGATGCTACGAGTATATCGAATAACACCTACCTGTCGTCCTCAATCAATCGCGTTGCGCACTCCGTGCTGCCGGCTGCTCCGCATGCCACGAGAGCGAACCCGAGGAACCCTTTCGGTGGTTGGAAGAGGTTGCTTCCGAGTAGCATGTGTACGACCTATTAAGCAAGCGCACTTTATGATGTTGGAGCGCTTGTTGTGTCCCGCTTGGTTACTGATGCTCCAGTACAACCTCTTTCGCATACTCCTGGGTTCCCACGTTAAATTGACCCGAAAATTTTGGACTGAGATAGATTGACACGAAAAAAAGTGACGGTTGGCAAATTGACACGAAAATAGGTACCGGTTGGTAAATTGACACGAAAAAATATTCCGCCGCACGTTGCCTGGCGAAGGCCAGCAGCGGCGCAGCCTCAAGTTCCAAAAAGTTCAACCCCAGCTGCATCGCTGCACCGCCGGGAAACCCAACGGTCGCGCTCCCTCATCGCCGCACCCGACACGGAGCGAGGGGATGGCGCGCCTTGCGCGAGGCAGAATCCGCTACGAGCGGTATGATGAGTGCATGCTGGTTCTTCTGCTTGCTGTGTTGTGTGCGCTAGCTGGAGAGGAGGACATGTTCCTCGTGATGGCCATGTTTGGCCTAGCAAAGCTGGAGGCGTATGAAGAACTGATAGCCCCAACGATCCTGGAGGGTGTGTGCCCGATGTACAATTTCTTCGATGCAATTGGAGGCTTGGACTTTAAGGAGCTCTTTAGGTTCGAGAAGCCTCACTTCCGCGAGCTGCTGCACGAGCTGCAGCTCCCTGAGGAGATCGAAATTCAAAGTCAGTCGGAGTCGTGTGCGTTTGAGAACTCTGCGGTAGTTGCTGTATGCGACGGGCAGGGCGCGTCGGGGTTGTGCTACTGCTGTGGACAGGCTTCTCATCTCAGCACGTAGGAATCATACCCGTGTCCTGAGTATCACGGAGGTGCACATAGTTTCAGACAGCATCAATGATAGCGAAGCAGTTGATACAGCAGTAGTCTAGACTATTGATTTTTGAAATGTGTTTTTGAGGTCATACCTGTTGTACTACAGCAGTCTACACGTGTAGCACATATAGTCACCGCACTCTCCATGCGTTCACCACGCGTGGTACTTCTCCCCCCGCCCGTTTTCGCCCTATAGCACCGAAACTGACGGCAGCAATGGAACATGACTTTGCTCCTTGTGTCTGTCTGTTCGGTCAACAGGGGAGGGTTTGGAGTTTCCAGGGTTCCTATCGACCTTGCGCTGGCGGTGACGATCTGGCGCCTGGCATGTCCGACGACGCTGATCCGGGACCGGCTCTTTTGGGGGATAGCGGAACAGATGATATGCGATATCTTCAACCTCACCATCGAAGCGATCTTTGATCGCTGGGGTCACCTGGTAAACCAGCTGCAACATGATGCAATTCTATCAAAGATAGATATGTTCTGTCAGGCAATTCATGAGAAAGGTGCCCCGCTCACGCGTTGTTGGGGCTTTATCGACGGCACTATTCGCGCGATCTCGCGACCTAAGCGTAATCAGAGATTGTGGTACAATGGTTGGAAGCGAAAGCACGCGTTGAAGTATCAAGCGATCGACACCCCCGATGGGATAATTCGCATGCTTTGGGGTCCCATACTCGGGCGTCGCCACGATGTCGCCATGGTAGGGGAAAGTGGTCTGCTGCAAGATCTGCAGCAGTGGTTCAACGACGCAGCAGGCACCCCTTACTACGTATTCGGCGACCCTGCGTACAGCCTTTCGCCCTGGTTGCTGGCGCCGTACAAGGGGGTTTTAAACGCCTTCGAACAGACCTCCAACACCGCAATGAGCTCCGTTAGAGTCTCGGTTGAATGGGGGTTCGGAAAAATCGTGGCCCTCTGGCCGTACGTTGACTATGCCAAGAAGCAGCAGGTGGCGCTCAGCGCTTG